GACCATATTAACTGTTTTCCTCAAATATTTTTGTTACACAGTTATGTCATCAATTGATTTTTGAACTACAGCTTTCTTGGAGGGGTTGACTATCAGAGCGGGGTGTCAGCTACTGGCTGTCTCAATATGTAGAAGAGAAATTATGGCAACCCTAGGTTGCTCACAACCATCATGAAGAGAATAAAAATAGTGTTCTTTGTCTTTTATTAAAAAGACAGATACCACTCAGAGTGCTTGTCTCTGAGCTCACCAAGTACCTCACCAAGATTCCAAAACACATAGTAAAGTTGGGTATGGAAGGAAGGCTTACAGGGGAAAGGTTTATGGGGGAAAACTAAAATGGAAATGTACCCTGCACACACCTGAGCTCTCAATAAGGGGGACAGGAAAAGCGGGCAGTGGAAGACAGAGCTCTGAGGAAGAACAGGGAGTGGGAGAGACAGAAGGAGAAGCCTGTAAGTAAGAAGGGAAAGTAATCAATAAATTCAATTTATGAGAAGCACAAAGCACGCTCTGCACCAAGCACAACTCATGGGCACCTGAAAATCTGATTAGCAAACTTGTTTTGTATTCAGTGTTGGTCTCTTTCCCCCACAGCTAGTACTGGTCTTTATTCTTCCTGCTTTGAAGGAAACACAGGTTAACTTCTTAACGCCTGGGTCTAGTTTCATCTCTTATGACAAATGCTCTGTGTAACATTCAAATTAACTTACAAGTAATTAACTGTCTACACAACTTGCTGTAGTAACACACAAAACACTAACATATTGCACTTCTAACTCTTAAAGGGTAAGCACTAGAAAAAAGTGCCTATTAAGAAAAATGAAGGTCTATTACCATGGTAATATTTCTTCTACTAAATCCAGATTTTGAAAAGAGAGAAACTGCCATAAAGCAACTATTCCTCTCAGAAAGTAGTTTAGAAAAGACTTCCTATGATGGAAGAGGCTGGGGTAACAAACCCAAACTCTGGAACTTAGTTTGCTTATATATGACTCCAAATACGAAGGGCAGCCCCACGGAGGATGGGAGAGCTGTTCTGGACACCTGTGAGTCCTCCTGAGGAGGGATGAGCAGCCCAGCCAGGCGATTAATAACTGTCATTAGGTGGTAATGAAAAAGAAGCCTTTCGGACACAATAAAAACAGGCTCCTGTAAGTCTTCCCAGAAAATTAACTTTCTTGATTTATCTTTGTGCTCCCTGAAGGTGGGCATCTGTGTCCATGAGAAGCAACCGAAGGAGAGGGGCCTCTGATGTGGGTCAGAGGAGGGGAGCAGGGTGACTGGGAGGGTCCAGTCACAACAGTGAGCTGGTCAGGGTGTTACCTTGGCTGCTGCCTCTCTCTTCCCTCCTGGGAAAACCTGGTGTGGTTCCTCCTCTGGGAGCACCCACAGTTTCAATGGGGGAAAGAGGAGAAGAGAAGAGAACTTCATTGTCAGAGGCTCCTACTCTATGTCCAAGACATCTTCTGATTTGTTCCTGAGGCTGAGAAAGGGACTAGTTCATCTGATCAGACCTCTGCAGATGACTCAGACCCGGCAGGCCGTGACCCGCAGGGGCAGCTCCTCACCTGCAGAAAGCAGGAATCAGAGACTCTGAGAGGTTGAGGACTTCCCCTGCAGTTCAGGCCAATGCGCTCTAGAGCTGTGGTTCTCAGACTCTGCGGACAGGGTTACCTGGGGAATTTGTTGGAAGTTCAGATGTTGGGTCCCACCCACCTCAGACTTTCTAAATTAAAATCAGGATGGGCCAGGCATGTTCATTTTAAATAAACTTCCCAGGTGATTCTGATCACCCACATTTGAGATCTGATGTTAGAGGGAGGAGCGTACTGGGTTTGGCATCAGACTCTTCTGGTCTGGACTCCGCCTCACCTGCAGATCACTGAAACTCTTCTGGATGCTAATTTTTCCAAGAGAAAAGATGTGATTCGGTTACATGATCTCACCGTTTTTCTAACTCTAACAGCTTCTGAGTCTATTCAAACATTTGCACGTAATTTACAGTTCATCTGAGAACAATGATCAAATACAGTTGCTCTGGCACTAAGTTTTTCTTTCAAAAATTCTGATTTCTAAAGTGACAACTACTACTATGTTTTCAGGTGCTCTTCATACTCAAGTAACAGGGATGTATTTGAGCCCTGATCAAACATAAATCCAAGTATTAGGGGAGAGAAAATACACTGTCCTCAAGAACGCTGACATGTTCTGCCACGGCAAAATCCTCCACAGGCACTGACCTCAACGCCTTCTATCTCAGAGGTTAACCATGGACCAGAGACATCATTTACTTTGTTGAAATGGAAAATCGGGTACACTAGTCTAAGGGTGGAGACACTTCATATTAGGATCTGGCCTCACTTATCAGGGTCTTGACCCTATGTTCCCCACTATAGTTGAGTAACGTCTTGATCTCCTCCAGGAGAGCAGCATAAAGCATATAGGCCTAAGTGGAGGATGTCACTTGTAAGACATCCTGATTTTGGTCCTTCCTTTAGCTGAGCAGCTCACCTGGTTCCACTGCCCACCTGTTGATTTAAACCTCCGCTATGGGTTATCGACTCCTGCCTGGCCACCGTCACCTGACTCCAGCCTCCACCCTCCACTCTGTCCCCTGAGCATCTCCTGAGTCCGGCCCTTACTTTCAGTGCTAGTCTTTCCTTGGCTCTTCTGATCCAGCTTCCTGCTTTGTCCACGGCCCACAGGGTGAAAGCCATCGCAGGAGAGTGGCCCAGGGCTGGCTGAGGGAGACTGCTGCACTTCCTAATGCAGTTTACTAGCCAGGAGGCTGCACTCTGCCAGGCAGCGCTAAGACAGCCACTGTTCACTTCACCGACTTTGGGGAAACTGTGAGACTGCTCTCACCCCTTCCAGTTGGTTCTGTCACCTTGGCTTCCCCAGGGCTGTCAGGAGCACGAGCTTCAGGGAAAGACGGTGGAACATGCAGATCAATCAGAAGTGCAGCTGTTCTTCCAGAGCGAAAGCTTAAGGCTGACAGCAAAATCTAAGAGGCCGAGGCACAAATCCTGAAAGTCCCCAAAGCAGGGATGCTCCTTGTGCCAAACAGCCCATGTAAAAAAGTTGAAATCCTTCATTTACTAAAGAAGAAATGGAAGCCCAGGTCACCATGACCAGGTCAGAACGTCAGCAACCATTTCCCACACACTCTCCTCTCCAGTGAACACAGAATGTTCAAGAGACCAGCCAGCTTCAGAGCTGGGGAAAGAGCTGAAATGCTTAGAGTTGCTACCTGCTAAGCAGCTGGATTCTGCAGGTATACTGAGGGGCAGCGGGGCGTCCCAAGGAGCAGGGGCAGTGCAGATCTGGGAGCAAGCCCTTTCTACACACCTTCCTTTTATAAAGAGAACTTGAGCACTTTGGTCCACTAGTGGGTCAACACTACGGGCTTCTCATTTCCCCCTCCCTTCCTTCTCCTGTAAGGGAGGTGAAGCAAGACTGAATGGGAATCAGGTTTTAATGGTAAGAACAGGTAATTTAATCTTGGGAGTTTATAGAAAGCTATGAGGCTAAGCAGATATGAGAAATAAAAGACACAGAAATCTATCAACTGATGTCCTCCTAATTTTTAAAATGCTGTATCTCTATAATCTCATAGAGCAAGCCAATAGCTTTTAAGTCTTAGAAGTAATAATTACAGCAATTTAATTTCTCTTTACCATTATGAAGAACATATAACTTAATATACTAGAAGTAACAGTCTAAATGTCTCATGTTGACCTGTGAGGAATTGTAAGACTAGCTGAAGAAAGATTGATGTGAATAAAGTGGATGAGTAAGAAATGAAAAGTAAGGCTAAGGAATATCCGGAAATTTTCCTATCAGTAAAATCTATTAGTCTACAGGACAATGCCCCAAGGGAACCAGTGAAAGCCCCGGCTTATGAGTCATTTAAAAGTGGAGTGGACTTGGCTACTGGAATTACTCCAAGGGGAAAACTCGCACTACGCCGGAAATGGACAACACAACCTAATGGGCTGTTGCTGTGTTTAGTATTTCAGCATGTCCAGCTCGTTCTTTGCATTTAACAAGGAAACCTAAGAAGAGGGGTGTTGACTGGTCAGGAACTGTTATAATAAATGATCAGGATCACGTGTGCTGAAGTTTCTTTCTAGCAACAGGGGCAGAGTTGGGGTCACAAAGTTAGACTAACTTCTCAAAAAGAGAAAGGAAAAGGTGGTGTTCGTGGCAAAGGGACCACTCATGAAACACTGGCAAAACCGTGCCAGCCAGTCTGACGTGGTCTTGAACGGGGCCGTGCTAAGCGGCACCTCTGCTCATGCCCTTCCTAATCTCACTCCACTATTTGCTACTTTCAGCCTCAATCACTAATTCATGTGATTTTCAAGTTTTTTCCCTTTGCTTCACAATTATCGTTCACATTTTCCCTCATTGCCTTCTATCTGTATTAGCGGAAAATGGGTGTTTCTTCACACACCTAACTCAAAAACCAAACACTACGTTTAAATTTGTTGTTTTTATGGCAAGGTATACCTCGGTCTAGCTGTTAAATTTACCATCATGACTTCCCTGGGTTTCAATTCTCTCAACTGTAAAATGGTGAAAATAAAACCATCTCTATTTACATCTCAGGCTGTCATAAAAAACAAGCAAGAGATTGGATGTGAAATGACCTTGAACTCAAAAGCACTATATAGAAATTCAAGGTGTTACTACTGTTTCTTGGTTATTGCCCATTTCAGTGTTGCCCATTTTAGGTTTAAAAGGTTTTTGTGGATGTATCTTTTTAATACTGCCTGGTGTTATACATTCTAAGTCTAATACTTGAATATAAGAGTTGTGAAAACAATAGGCACCTGAAACATACTGAAAATAATATTAAACTATATTGCAGATGGGGGTGGAAAGGAGGAAGAGGGCCCCTTTAGAATGACTAGTAATAATTTGAGGTTTCTGGCCGATTTGTTTAAGTTGGTTTCAGCATGGAATACCACCACTGAGGACAGAAGGAAAAACACTTCAGACTTATTGAATACTTTATAGAAATGGAATTGGCACAACACTGTAGATGACATCACCTCATTTCATGGAGGATTAAAATCAAGGCCCAAGGTCACAGAGCCAGTAAAAAGCAGGGCCTGGATACAAACTTGGATTTGCCCGATTCAAATTCTACTGCATATTTGACTTTGTCACAAGTTAACTCTGTTTTATTCTATAAATGTACGCTGTTGACCTCATGGGGCTACATGTAGACAGTTGAACACAAACTAGACAATCAGGATTCAGTCAATACTCCAGACACCACTGCAGCTGCTGCTTCGGTAATGTTACAAATCACATTGTGGACAAGAGCAGTTATATTACAAGACACCAGTGATGACACACACACTTTGTCACCAACATTCTGTGCAACGACCACCACCCCCACCTCAGTATGGCACTGATATCAAGCTAGAAAAATCCATGCGTCCAACTTACAGGTTCCATGTGCTTCAGTCAGTATTAATATTGAAGGCTGGAGAATGTTAGGAGCACATCAGAAGCTGTTATTTGACAAATAAAATTTACTAACTTAACATTAGTAACATTACTTTTACCAAAGACCTTAAAAGAAAGGAACCACTGGCTACTTCTGAGAGTTATACACGTGCTGCTACAAGGAGACAGAAAAGAGCCTCAAGCCGCAAGGCTTCTAAAGACAACACAGGTTTTAGTAAGTCTTGATTCTATTTTTCATACTAGTGTTACTGGTATTTTCCAGCTATCCAGACAATACCAATCCTCCCAACAGATATTTACACAGAGTTAGAAATTCACACTGAGTAGCATTATTATAACTACAGCAAATTAGACTGCAGGAAGGCATGCTGTGTAACTTGAACACTAGATTTAGTTGGGTTAGAAGGTCAACTTTAGGGAGTTTATCAGCATAAAGAACCATGGTTTCCAACAATTTCCATCTCTCAGAGCAACCGATAACCAACTGTTAAATCAGTTAAGTGATAGGCAATTATGTGACCTGCCAGAATTGATAATTTCCTTCAGGGTTTATCATTAGCTTTCTAAAGTACATGAATTAGAGAAAACACACATCCTGTGACCATCATGTTATTCTGATATGAAAGTTCCTGAGAAGAATATGAAGATAGGAGACAGACGTGATGGAAACTGTTTCCTAAATCCATCTCTGGCCTCTCTTGCCCTGCTCAACTGAGTGGACTCTACAGACTGGTAGAAGACTGAATGCTGCTTGTATGATGGGTTTTTGTTTTAGTTTTATGATTGTCTTTTGTCTTTTAAAACCAGGCTTTCTACATGACTACAACCTGTTGATGGTTCCAAAGCTGCTGACCAGAAATATGTGGCAATGACCTTGAGGGCGCAATTACAAAGTAGAGGACAAAAGTTCAGAGCAACTGGAAAAGGTGTTATTTCAGGTAGAACCTTCCCCACCACCACCATCCCCTGCAAGTAAATGAGTCAAAGAGAAGGAGTCTGCAGACTCTTCCCACAACCACCCGGATGAAAGCTGACCAGGACCTAACCAACTCGCGACAGCAATTCTTGATGATGATGACTAGTTTGGTTTATAAGGCTTTTCCACACACATTAGCCTCCTGAGTTCTCACCAGTGCCCATGATGTTGGGCTTTCCAGTCCTCTGGTGCTCCAATTAGCTTGGCTTGTACACCCACCTGTTTGGCCTGATTGACACAGCGCATGTACTGGCTGGCCAGAGCAGAGCAGCTGAGGGTCTGCTGGGTGTTCTGGCGGTAACACTGGAGGATTTGGGCCTGCAGATCAGCACAGACAGGATGACACTCATACCGCCTGAAAACAAAAACAGGGACCACTCAGACAAACGGTCTTCAACAAAATAAAGATCAAGGCTAAAGAATACATAAAACACTGAAATACAAAATGTTGCAAATGCAGAAAAAAAAGTTTAAGAGAAATCACTTTCCTCAATCTTAAAAAGAAGTGATTTCTATGAAACTAGTACTATTAACTGATCACTGCGAGCCTCTCTGTACAGTTTAACGTTCCCACCCAATCCAAAACAGAACCACGTGAATGGTACCAATCACTCTTCAGCCCAGCCAGCGGAATCAGCCACCCGGGAGCCCTAATTTTCTCTTCCATTCCCCCTTTCAATTGGACACGAAACTCGAGATCCCGCAGTTCAGTCCTCTTTCTCCATACTCACTGTCCTTACATTAATTCCTAATCACTTATACCTTGGATTCAGGCAATGATCTCCACGGTCTCTCTATCTCTAAGCTTTCACCCTCTGCTCCTACCTCCCAGAAGGTTCTAATACTTAAGTCTCAGAGAGTGTCTGCTTTCTAAATAAAATACAAGGTCAAGAGGCAGGTCCTTTTGGATCAGGTTTCTGTCTACTCTGTCACCTTAATCTCCCCCACCCTGTACATGCTGCAGCCCAACTAAACCCCTTCCAGGGCTTGGTTCTTACACATTCCTTCATGTCTTTGCTTCACACTGCTCTTGATTTTGGAAATGCTCTGAACCCAAACCTTCAACCATCTCCATGTATCTGGAAAATAGCTACTCATCTTTGAATACTTGTGCTAAGTATGGAAGTATAACTTCCTCTATGCAGCTTTCACTAGCTCTCCCCATCCATGGTAGAGTCTATCATTCCCTATGGTGACCTCCGATCCTATAGTAACTTTTTTCACCATGTACTTAACACGGGCTACTCTACAGTCTCCTGCATTTTACTAGCATGCAAATCCCAAGTAGTAAAGACTATGTCTTATTTCCTGTGTGATCTCAGCTATCCACATGGATACCTCTTCTAGAAGTCATGCAATAAACGCTGGAAAAAATACAAATGGGTGGAGAGAAAATTTTTTTAATTCCCTGAGCTAAAATTTTACTAATTATACTCTTACAAATGTCAAGATTTTAGTTAGATTGTTTTCAGTGAATAGGCAGTATTAAACATATATGCTTCCAGAAAGTTAATAGACACTTGAAAAATGATAATGAAATAAACCAAATGGATTATACAAACAAATATGAAACATTCTTGTTAAGATGGTAGAGGAACTTGGATTATAAGGACTAAATACACAGAAAAAAATACATATTGTATCACTTTAACCTAAGAATCCATATTTCTTTCAAATTAGTTTTGCTTAATACAAAAGGTTCCAGCCTTTCCTATCAGTTATTTTTTTGAAATTTAAATCTGTTATTTCCATAGTAATCTCGAAACAGCATTACTTTAAATTTGATGGGTTCTAAAAAACCCCTAGAGAACACAGAAGGAATATTTCTCATCAATAAGGAAACCCCTGGGTGATGATTTGTCTCTTTATTACTTTTATCCAACACACAAAGCTGATATATATATTTTGCTAGAACAGAAAACTGAAATGCAAACTGGTCCCTAAGGGAATTTACTCCCTACCACATTCTAAAAAAGGAGACATAAAGAGCAAAAAATAATCCCATAAATTTTACATAACTTTTTCATTCATTACCTTACTGTTTTGCCAAATACCTGGGAACAGAATTTAAATCCAATCCCAGCAGTTTCAATTCTCTTTAAGATTTCGAAGTTCAGATGTCTGTGAATTTTTCTGGACAGATTTCCCTAATCCTCTACCATGAACATCAGTGTCTAACAGGAGTCAGCTGTGCTTCAAAGAGTAGAAGCACAGACACAACTAACTGATTATATAGCAAGACACACATCTGGATAAATAGTGAAAAAAAAAACAGGATTGAGCATCAGGTCAGCTGAACCTAGCAAATATCTGACTAATGCCTAGAACAGTTCATGAGAAAGCAAGGTTACATTTTATCCTAATGTTGAGGACCATCGTCCCTCCAACGCATCTTAAATTTAAACCTCAGGAAGGAAGATGGGAGAGAAGGCTAGAAGCATTTGGACTAGATATGTAGCCCCTCCCTCTATTAACACACAGTAAAAGACTGCAAAGAAAGAGCTTCCACATACTGCTCATCACAAAGAAGATGCTGTGCTTTTTTCCTCTATGAAGACTATTCACAATGGGATTCATTCATCTAATACCATGGATTCCTTAGAAAGAGGTAATTTAAGTTATATATAAGCATTCATCCTGGGTTGAGCTATTAGTAATGCAAGTTAAAGTCCATGAGTTATTTATGATTTGAAATGTGTCAAAATATACTTTTATCACCACAAATCAATACTGCTCACTTCCAGGGCTCTGATTTCCTGTCTGGTAGTCTGTTCTGTGTGAGTGTGTGTGTTATGCTAACGCAAACATCTTCTGAAATCTTTTTTGTATATATTTCAACCTATATTGATGATTAGATGGCAGAATGAGGGGGAGAAGAGTGGAAATCAACATAATGAATGGTTTTCCAGTTCCTGGACTAGACTCTGGTACATTTTGCTGGGATTAATCTGTAAGGGCAAAGCTCTGCCTCTGTATTGATCTGCAATGCTTGTTATGCTGCCCTAATGCACTGTTTTCACTTTGGGAAAATGCTAAATGAGATTACTGTCTAACATTAGAAGGCCATAAAAACCAAGTATGGCACCTTCCATTCAGGAAAAGGGTTTCAAAGACATTTCCAATATGCATTATGGTAAACCCCCCATACAGTCATTGAGTCAGCAATTGATTTTTATTGACTGCTTTCATTCCTGCTGATGGAAAAAGCCACTATTAGGTAAAAATAACAAAAGGCAGAATTTCAAGATACCCAAGAAGGAAAATTAAATCTAAGCTGCAAGAGACGTTTAAATAATTTAATTTCTTTATATGGAAAGATAAAAAATGGTGAATGACAAATATTAAGACAAAGAAGAAATATTTGGAGAACTCAAAACCATAATGAAGACGTTAGAGATAAAACAGTTATCCAAAAACATATTTACCAAAAAGAAACCAGTGGAATAAAGTTGATACATGAAAATATATATTCCTCAAAAAAAAGAAAAAATCCAGGTTAATGGTACTTGAAATTATTGAGGACTTCTGATGGATCCCACCACCTGCACATCTGGTCTCTCTTCCCTTTTCATTTTCTTCTGGTACTCTTTACTCTGTTCCCCATCTCTCCCCTCATTCCCACCAGCACTAGACGCTGGCCCTCTGCCCTTCACAACCCCAGCCCAGCTCACCCCACAGTGGCACTTAAGGCCAAGGAGGTTGCTGACAGTATTCAACAGCAGAACTGGAGAGCAAAGGTCTGGATAGAGAACAAAACCCAGCAAAGCACTCCTAGTAGGTATCCTGTAGCCAGTAAAACAATTTTTGCTAATGTTTAGTGCTAATATTCACTTAAAAAGCAGCTAAGAAAATATATCCAAGTATTTTTCTCATGACACTGACAGGTCCGTTGTAGAAACTTTGGGGAAAAAAACCCGAAAGTCTAAAGACACATTTAGGCAGTTTCTAATTTTTAAATGTTTAAAACACCATGGTGATGGATACAAATGATCACTACTGTTTCTGATGATTTCCTTTGTTTAGTTTTCTGTAAGTTGAATTAATTGGTCAAAGAGAAATGAAGACATCTCGGTAAAAATGAAGCTGAGATAAATAAGCAGTATTCAGAACTCTCCTCGTAAGACTCTAGTGTAATACATTTATACTCAGTTATCTGTTTTACGGCTGTTGGATATGCTGCTGCCTCTCCTACTTTCATGTCTCAGGAACTTCTCTGCTGTGAGTCTGAGCTATGTATTTCAAGGAAACTACTTAACCATCTTTTTAGTTCTAATATAAATGGCAAGGATAATGAGGTAATTTCAGAGAAGATAAAATATGGAGATAACCTTCCTCGTGCCATTCAGAAGCCTCAAGAAGTCATGTATTGACAATCAGCGAGCAGCCACAATTCCTAAAGCTCTCAGGAACACAAAAATTGTTCACTATGAGTGTAGGAAGGATGCGAGAATGACTGGCGCTACAAGGGGAATTCTGAGCTTTTAAACAGACTGCGACAATGCATCCTTCATGGGATCTCGTGGCCTCAGAAAATGGTATCCACCACATTAAAAGCAGGTACACAACACAGCCAAGGAGTGACATCTTGGGTTCTAACTCCTCTGGAACAACAAAAACTCTAACTGTATTCTGTACTGAACATTTCATCAGATGGCAAGGCCAGTGGTCAGGATTTCTGCTTTTCTTTCACAATACAAAACTAAACCTACCTAGAGTATTGCCAATATTTAATAATTCACTCATGTCTCTTATTTCATATAATAAAGCTATCATAAAATGCAACATAAAGGAAGTATTTATCTCAAATGTATTCATTATCACCTATTAAATTTTTTTCATTTTTAATTTTATTTAAATTGCAATATCCTGATTCGTTTTCAAAATAAAATGTAAACAGCGTCCTTATAACAATGCAAGATCTGAAAAACAACTCAATTTCAAGCTCTTCTGACATTCTTAATAACTGCTAACCATCCTTACTAATGTCTCTATCTGAGCTGTAATCAGATTTCCACAATTATACTTTGAAGGCCAAACATCTCCAAAAGATGCCTGCTTTCTTTGTTTCAATTTGTCTTCATACACATTTTGCTATAAAATCTTAAAATACAATAAAGAGAATACTTTGCTTTTACATTTATTTTCTAAAATGCTGAATATTAGCTATGATGTTATCTATCATAACAGGCCTCCACTGTTATCAGTGGAGGGAACGCCAACCTTGACTTCACCTGGTTCTGCCCTTTGTTCAATGAACCAATCAGGCTGACAACAGATTGTTACCAATAATGAGCACCGTACCATTCAAGTGACAGATTCAACTTTGGCGTTGTAAAAGAAAAGCTCAGCTTTGGC